GAAATGTTTCTGGAACATTATACAATAAGTTTCAAATGTTTCTAAAACATTTCATTAAACTTAAATTACTGTCTGGGTATAAAACTGAATTATAATTATTATACTGTTGATGAGGGAGACATTTATTACTTCTATTAAATAACTCGCACGGTATAATGTATAATAACGTAACTATACGGCGTAGTTTCTTGTTTAATGAACATCATAATAATATTTTCATTTATGATAATCATACGTTTTCGTTTATTATCTTTTGACGTTAAAATTGGTAGATATAGGTAATGCGCGACTATCCGAGCGATTAACTACAATATAACATTATTATCAGTATAAGCGTATATATATATAATGTTTATAAATATGATTATATTAAATTATACGCTCTGGAAAACAACACGTTTTACTACTTAAAATATATTTTATTAGTATTTCACTGGTCCGTTGATGACGACATGATGATGGATATATTAATATAGTCGGTCATTGGTATAATTATAGGGCAAAAATAAGAGTATCCGACTCCACTTATTGTGCGTAGCTTAGAAGGATCTCGATTTTTCGTTGAAATGTTGAAATCTGTGTTTTTCAATAAAATAAAGTAACCATCTGTTTGTCGATACACGATTCACAACCGAATTTATCGCACGCAATCGTCTGTTCAAAGCGGATGAACGGATGCAACTATTAAAGGTGGTGATTTGCACCAGTGGTGACGAATCAGTGTTAAAATGATCTGGTCAATCCTTTAATAGTCATTCGTAGTTATCACCTCCACTAACTACTTAATTGTTTTTAATTATTTATAAACAGATCTGTGAAATTGGTTCGTCTTCTATATTCGTCCCTACAAAAAAAAAAAACGTTTACTTATATTTATCAAAATTCCTACGTGTTGAACATTTGTAGTTTTACTGATTTCATTATTTCTATTGCATATTTATCAATTTAATGTGCTATAAATCATTATCCTTAGCTCACGAATATCGTGGTTTTATACTTTTTGATACTAAACACTAAACACTCTGAATATGACTCACATGATCGTGCAATATATTCGATTATATTAAACAAATTATGATGTGATAATAATGTAAAATATTCTATTGCCTATCAACTTCAAAAGTATGGTTCAGCAGACCAGACCTAAATACCGTGTTCGGCGCCATTGGCTTATACCGAGTTTTTAGTACTTTTGATACAAAATCATATTATTTTTGTTTGTCTATGTGGTATAACTTTGGTGCAGGGATCGACGAATAGGCGGATAAGGCCTGCTCGGGAAAAATTTATCCTTTGCGGACCAATTATAGTCATTACGCCTTCGCTGATGTCCTATTTAGTCAAAAAAGAAGGTGGCCCACCTGGAAATTCGTAATATTACAAAGTTTTTACATACAAATACAATGCCTAAGATATTGAGATAATGCAACTTGCATCATATTCACTAGGTAAGTTTTATTATACATAATATAGGTACCTATATTATTACAATATACCAAGTGCACTGTATGTAATTAGAATTATTGTAAGGTGCAGTGTACACCTATTGCAGTAATAATACTATCGGCTTATCGAAAAGTTATTTAATGCACGTTTAATGCACGAATGTACCTATAGGTGGCCAGGGTATATAATATAATATGATATTACATAAGACATGTACCGTATTATTTCCTATTATGGATAATATTTCATTATTATTATTTATTATGCATTATTATAAATTATAATTATAAGTACCTGTTATATAGGTTTCAATGTTTCAATTCGAATTTTATTAAATGAGATATTTGATTACTTGAAGAATGATTCATTGTCTATATCAGTGGTGACCGACATATTTTTACAGAGGGTCATTAAAAAAAAATAATAATTTTTAGCGGGCCAAGAATTTAAACTTTTACTTTTAAGTTAACGGAATACTATATTTTACTGCAGGTATATCTTAATATAGGTTCAGTGATATATTTGATTATTTATTATGTATTGACTGTTATAAATGAGAAAATAATGTAAAGTATCTTTTTTTTAATATGAGTGTTATATAATACGGAATTGATGATAACTTCCTGTTCAGTAGAATTAATCAAATTCAATTATTATTTTTTTAATTAACACAGGAAAACATTTTCATAAAAATTAATTATTAAGCTTTTTTTTACCAATTTTTTTTTTCTATTATTTGAAATCGGAATTAAAAAGTCTGAGTTAAATGTGGCCTACAGAATGTTGTTTATCATTAACAAAAAAAAGTTTATGAAAATATTGTATTGACAATGTGTTATCACTATTTTCGTAAAGTCATTTTCGTCAGTAAAAACGTCTCCACCTCTTCCCTATTAATTACGTTTCGTACAGATATAAAATAAATCACTGTATTTATCTACCCCTACAACTTCTCTCTTAAAACATTAGCATACCCATCAGTGTTACCAGCTTTTTTTTTTAATGTTTCCATAGTTACCAACACATCAACGGACAAATTCATGGAGCCATCTATTAGTAGTTAAATTTCGGAAATCCAGCTTCGAAGTGCTTTTGTATGGAAATTTTTGGATTTTTAGTACTGTGCGTATGTATAATAAATTCGGTTATGGATTACGCACATTAGACGAACAGACATTTCTTTTTACAATCATTATTATAAACCACAAAACTACAATTTATGGGTTTTTTCAGGTGGTTTAAATCGTTTTTCAATGAATGACGGGTTGGAAAAAAATGTATTCTTTAGTATGAATGTTTTAGCGTTATAATACGTACAATGATAATATGTTGATCAAGAATACCTTGAGAACGAAAACTGGTATCGCTAGTAGAAGAGATGTTATCTGCTGTAGGTATCTTCCTCAGTAGGTAGTTTATTGTAAAAGATGCTGCAGTATAATAACGTCCAGAGTCCAGACGCAAATAATACAATAATATAATCTCCGTCGAGTCGATGCGATTCTAATTTAGTTTGTTACCAATTTTCCAGGATTTCGCTATATATTCCCGTGCAGTCTTTTTTTTATCTTTTTACTTTCTCGTGTGAATTTTTATCTTGTGTGGTTTAAAATATTATTATAATTTAATGGCTTCCTCCTACAGCTATTGCACGCTTTTTTACGAATGTAATAATTAATTTGACTAAACACTGAGGTGCGTGTCTTTACTGCTCTAGGATAAATTATGGTTGGGTACTATTAAGAGAAACGATAAAATTATAAAATATTATGATAAATAAATTATCGTATGTTATGTTATACTCATAAATTTAATGAATGCATTTAAATAATTATTTTTTTCGTCCCATTGAAAATGCTTATAAACATTCGATTTAATAGTTTCATAAGTTGAACTTTTATTGGAAAAACGGACATACTTTACACCACGGATAGACTATTGTTATATTAGGTGGTCAGCCAGGAAGATAGGATATGCATTTGAAAATAATTAAGCTGATAAACTGCATACGACGCTAAATCATTACAAATAAAAAACGATTTTAAGCGGAGTTTTAAAATTCGCTTTTTTTTGATAAATTTAAACTGTTACACATTGTATTCACATTATATAATACTAATAATTACGAAATAAATTAAAATTGAATGTGTTTTAAACGAATTTCATCATATATTTGAATATTTAACACTAATATAAATAAATTGCAAACATTTTTTCCACATACTATGCAACCAAAAAAATGGAAAATTTAAAATTGCTTATAATTAATGCTAACAACTATTATTATTATTATTATTACTATTGTTTATATTATTATCTAGTCATAGCAAAGCTTTGCCGAATCAGCTAATTATTAATAAAATCATAAGGAAAATACAAAAAATCAACTAAATAAAATTTGTTACCAGAAAATATCCCTGATGTTGATGATTGGAGCGAGATTTTTAGCCAAAAAGTTGTGTGTAGACATAATGAAGTTACACGTCATTCAGAATCTAAAATATAATACACTTATTTTTTTTTTCGTTAAACGTGAACGTTTAAAATGTTCATAGTTTAAGAAAAGTTCCACTATAATAGCTATTTATCTTTTTATACAGTGTGTCCTACAATGTTATCCTTATGTTAATAATTCTTTCAATATTAATTTTTTTTTGTTAATCTGGTTTTACGTGACGGTGACACCCATATAGAGAAAAATTAAATTTTTATAACCATCCATTAATTATTGAAAAAAAAAATAACTTTATTTTATCACTTAAAAAATAGCAATTTTATAAAAGATATTATTCTAACCATGTAAAATATTTTAACGTCAAAATTATTCTATTCAATAGATATATTATAATTAATAAAACAGTACGAAATTGTATAGTCATGATAATGAAAGGTTTTAAGAATTGTAATCGGTGAGCTTACAAATCTGTAGTATGTATACTCATCGTGTAATGAAATCTAACATAGGTATATGTAACTCCATAAGTTTGAGTAAACTTTTTATGTAATTTAGGAATAGTTTAATGCCCTTAACCGAAATTTTAACTTTGATTATAGAACGAAAAATAAATTTGTGATTATGATAGATTAAAATCATTTCATTTTCAATGGAATATAATAACGACTCGGGTATTCAATTTTCGAATATTTAACTCAGAAATTATAAATTCTCTCATAAATCCAGTACCTTGCATCTTTAAAAAAAATCATACAATTAAAATTTGTCTGTATTACACTTAATAGACATTTTAAAATAATGTTTTGTTTATAATTATATAAAGCATTTATTGGGCCAATTTCTCATTTATTAATTTCTTATTATTTTATGTTATATAGATATGTGCCATTAAGTTTGTATTTAATTTGTATATTATCTTTGTGTAGTTACGAACTGAATATATATATTTTTTTTTATTTGTTATTCAATACTACTGAATTTCTTATATCAAAATATATCGGTTTTTTTTTTTTGTATTTGAGTATTTTTACTGTAGTATTTTATTTAAATATAAAAACACAAGGAAAATATATTGTGAAAATTAACAGTTTTCACTCCAGTATAAAAATAATAAAACAAAAAATTAAATTCCAAATTTTTTTTTTATTTTTTTGTTACATCCAACATAACTGAATTATATTTTGTACAACAGATAATGCACTTGTTCGTAAAAGTGAACAAGTAAATCTATTGTGAAAATACAATTGTAGGTAGGTATATTTGCAATGGTAAAGTATGTATGCATAAGCATATTGCTCATATTTTTACATACAAAAAAAAAAGTTATTTAATAACTTATGGTATACAAGTGTGGTGCGATGGGCCATATCAAACAAACGTTGGATAGTCTATTTCTTTTCTTCTGGTTTCTGAGGTTGAGAAGCGATCAATTCCAAAGCTTTGGCGATTTCTGGGGGGGTGGTCGGGACAACGTTACCGACTGCATGGTAACCGGTCTCGTCGGCATAGTACTTAACCTCAACCGGTGCACCGTCTTCACCGGTGTAAGCGTACGAACCTTCGATGACTTGGGCTGCGGCGTCGGAACCGGCGTTCTTTACGTATCCGGCGGCTTGGGCGACAATACCGTTTTCGGTTTCGAATCTAAAAATACAATTCATATAGGTTAACTCGAAAATTCGTTCACAGTCTACAATGCAATAAAATATTTTGTATCCTGTGAAGTTCTACGTATAGGCGGGTTGTATAGTGTTTTTTACTAACCCGTATTTGAAGTTTCCGTCAAGGCTGACTTCCTGTGATTGCCTAACGATAGCTGGCAATTTGTTGTCTACGGCCTTGTACACTGGAGCGGCGACGACCTTGGGTACGATCGGTGCGACGGGGGCTATGATCGGAGCTGGAGTGACAGCTGGGGCTGGGAAGGCCGCGGACACGGCTGGGGCGCCTGGGTAGTAACCACGGTTGAAACCTTGGTAGCCTTGGTATCCAGGGTAGTAACCTTGGTAACCGGCTTGGTATCCTGGGTAGTAACCTTGGTAACCGGCTTGGTATCCCGGGTAGTAGCTACCACGGAACCCTGCGTTGTAACCTTGGTAACCTTGGTAACCTTGGTATCCTGGGTAGAAACCTTGGTATCCGGGGTAGTAAGCTTGGTTAGACGGTAAGAATTCGCTGCTGAAAGGAAAAGCCTTGGCGGCTTCCTTTGGCGCGGGTGTGGCCGCAGACGCCACTGCGATAACAGCTACCAAAACTACCTGTAAATATAATAAACGAAATATTATTGAAAATGTGCATAAAATCAGTTTAATACTTGTGGGATTTTTTATTTTTTACAAAATTTAAATTGGGAAATTGTTATACGTTTTATATTATTTGTTCGTTCGAAATTTAAACGATAATTTATTAGTTTCGTTTTTGAAAAATACAATTGGAGATAGTTGTAGTTAAGTAAATGTTTTATTTGAACATTGTTTATTTTATATGCTGTAATATTATAACTATGGATTAAAAATGGGTAAAAACAAAAAAATGTAAAAATTATAAAAAAAAATATTAGTATTATCGGTTCGTTTTGAGACTGTTTGAAACGTTTTTTAAATTATTAAAGTAAATAAGATTATATTATATTTTTTTTTTTTTTTTTTTTTGAACTTAAACATTTTATATTATTTCATAATATATCGAAAATGAGACGATAGTGTTCTATACGAAAAATTACTGCTTAAGTAACTGAAATATAAAACTGTTTTAAAATTAACGCCGTTCGTTCGCTTACCAGGGTGTTCATGATGGTGATTTTTTCGGACGTGTACCGGCGATCAGAAAGTTGTCGGGATATGTTTAGATGTGGACTGAAGACACCGCAACTGATACAAAATGAACATCCCGACGAGGTATATATACCGACGTTTTGGCGCGGGTTCGTGCGAAATACCTTGAACTTGACATTTAAAAAAAATTAAGTATCTCCCCTTTTTTCTGCGAATAAATTATTTGACTTTTTTTTCGTACACGTCTTACAAAATACATATATATATACGTGTATGTAGATTTGTAGATTATTGGATGATGAAGACCGGTTTGCGGTTTTTTTTTTTTATATATACTTTTCTTAAGTGTATGTAGTATAATAATGTTCCAGACGGCGAAATACGTAAGTGGAACTGGTATTTACAATATCATTTATTTATTATTATTTTTTTTTTTTTTTCGTTTATTATTACTAAAGCCGGTAGGTAGGTAGGTAGGTAAGTAGGCAGGGCAGGTATATTGAAAATCGCCACGGTCGTCATTTCCGACGCATCACTTATACCAATAACATCTGTGGAACACGCCGCAGCCAGTCAACTTTAACGTGCTCTACTATAATAGTAGTTACTATATTAGAATTTTTTTTTTTTTTTTTTTTCAAAATCTTAACCGTTTCATTTTTATAGTATTACAGTGACCACTGCGGGTGCAAGATTATTATTATCATAGACCAATAATAATATAATACACTATTCCGCACACGCACGTACTGGTGACAAGTATATTTTTTTCTTTTATTATGAATTATGCGACGAGTTCATAAACGATATTGTGTGATGGTAAAATAATATAATTTTGTACGGTATATATTATACTAAAACTGGAATTTTGGACGGTTTCCAATTCAAATTTTATACTTAATCGGTTTTTTAAACGAAATTCGATATACGTACCTATCTAAACAGACGTCTGTATCGCGCGATATGTTTTCTATGCAAAAATACTAGATTTCCATTTTGACACACCTTATATCAAAATTTCGTATGCAAACATATAGTGTAGTATATTGTAAAAAAAATAAATTAATAGTTATGTCTTTTTATTGCAAATTTATATAAACGTTTTACGAAATTAAACTTTTTCGCATCGCTACCTACTGAGGCGCCTAAACTATATTTTTTTCTAGTGTAACACAATAGCGGGGTGAATGTGTACTCTATGAAGCACCTGCTTCGGGACCAAATAGATTAGGTGTGTGGATGTTCACGTGTGGGCCATTGTCATTAGATTAGTTAACGAAAAATGTAAAGTATAGAAACTTCCAGTCTTAGCCTTAGTTACAGCGTTTGATTTTTCACGGCTTTGATTGTTATGAAGTTTTTGATATTTTACTGCAATCGCTTTATAAAAATATAAACTTTAAGCCATCACTAGTATAGGGCACTGACTTTTATAAACCCTATACTGTCATCCATACCTTATGGCTAATATTCCGAGCACATACATTTATAAGTATTAAACTGGTGTCTAATAAACAATTTTCTTCTAAAAAAACAAATTGACAGTATTATAGTATATAAAAATATTATATAATATAATATACCTTACTTAATCTTAACAATATGGGCCCTTCGAACCCAGAGGCAGTTTGTGATATATATTATTTGGTGGTTCAAGTAGATAGTAAAATTGAGTACCAATCCTAGCCCACAAATTTAATACAATCTATAACTTTTTTTTTATTATTACAATTGTATTCTACTTATTTTATTTATTAAAAAAAAAAAAAAAAAAAAAAAAAAAAAAACCCCAAAAAAAAAAACCAAAAAAAAAAAAAAAAAAATTTACCGTCGCCGGTAGGACTACGTTACCTGCAGAGACGGTTGCGTCTGGGCGACATGCTGTTATCGCGCATGGCGCGAACGTTCGGCGTCGGCACAGTAAAAGACGCTCAAAAAATGTCGTGTCAGTGGCAACAGACGACGGTC